AGGAGACGGCCGTGAAACAGTTGCTTTGTGGAAAGGACGTAATGGCAGTACTGCCTACGGGTTTTGGTAAAAGTTTGATCTACACGATTTTCGCATTGGCCAGGGAATAAATGTTGTCAGCGAAGACTTGTGTTCTTGTTATTGCTCCATTGAAGAGTATAATTGAAGATCAGATAGCTGAGATGGCTTCACTGAACTGTACGGCACTGGAACTGTCCAGTGAAGTAATGGATTCCGTCGTCGAGAACCCGCCCCAGACCCTCGCGGCTCCGCCGCTCGCAATAGCGGCTTTGCCGCTATCGATTTTGCCTTCGCGCGCTAACAAGACCGCCGCTACGCAGGCTATTGTGACCCCGGAATTCTCGAAAATTTACATGACCGCAGAACTGTTGAAATTTAGTAACAATTTTCCTGACCCCGGCCCTGTCTAAATTTAGTGAAAATTATTAGTGACTCTCTCCTCGCTATCGGAAAGAAAGAGGCACTGCTCGCAGTCTACGCCATTTTGTATCCCATAAGCCATGTTGGCTATTTTAGTTTTGGGTCCTGACTGCTGACAGAGAGCTTTGTACCTCCAGCGAGCCCACAAATCTGCCATACAAGCCCTTGTAATTTTCAATGCAAACTTTTGCGAATGCGCGTAATGTTTTCAAAGCCTTGAAATAGCTTTGCATGTTGAAAATTAATCTGTAACGTAAGTAAAATATTCCTTCCTAAAAAAAATGCCACTAAATATCTGGAACGTGTTTGCCCTTCCGATAAGCTTGTAATATCTTTATATATTTTGATGTCCGAAAAGGTTTCTTGACCATTAAACCTACTTTGTTATGGATTTTCTCTCAAAAGCTTTGATTCCTCTGAAATGAAATTGAGAAGCGCTTATAGCTGGTCTATATCCTAAGAAAAATTGGAATGAAACTCCTTCTCCTCCCCGTGGATTACAGTATGTGGCCCTTAATCCGGACAGGTCCTTGCTCCGGACAGGTCCTTGCTCCGGACACCCCTGTTTACTAGCAGCAGGAAAGCCTCCAAGCGAGATTAAGGAGACAAACAGATCAATAAATCTTCGGATGGGTTAGTTATTATTAAAACTTCGTTTCCTATCGAAAAATTACACGATAAACGGGGGTGTCCAGACCAAGGCCCTGTTCAGAATAGGGGCCACGTGTTATAGTGTCCGATGAGTAGAAACCGGGGAAGAAACATGTCAAACATGTTATTAAAACTTTCTGCCGAAAGTCACGGAAAGTCACACACCGAACTACAGTCGGTAAATAATACAATATGTTTATTACTCTCCCCAAGGGGCTTTTGCTTAAGGTAAGAGTTAATAAACAGACTGAATACACACCTCACACGGTGCTTTCCTCGGTCGCCATGTTTCCTTCGACACGTGGCTGCTTCAAGAACTCATTATACTTGTCTAAAGTGGAGAAAAAACTGTAAACCATCATCAAATGTACACATAAACTGTCATTATCAAGTACAATGTCAAAAAGCCAGCCTTAAAGAAGTTTTAGAATAAAAACAAACCTGTTTTTGAGAGAAGTTTTTTTTAAAGTTTCGCGGTCAGGAACACATGTGCAGTTTGGACATCACGCATTGCGAGTTACGCGCATTTGAGAGTTCCCGGATAATTATCACGTGTCGCGCGGTTACCACCAAAGTTTCGCGCCTTTTTTACGCAACCGTGGCAGTCTGGGTACCATACATCAGAACAGGCCGCTAATTTTTAACTGCGGGAAAGCGGTATTTTTGTAGGACTTCACTGGTTCAACAAGTTGTTAAGGCTTCGGCGATATCAAGTAGCCGGCAAAACTTCTACCACGGCACTGATCTGAATCAAAAGACCCGGCGAAAAAGCCTTAGAAAAGACGGGGGCCTACTCCCAACCGGAACCGGAAACGAGAAGCGAACGACTTTGAGGAAGTCTATCGGGCCCAGGGTAGAAGGGTTTGTATTATGCAGGGTTCAATTCCTACTGTTACCATCTCCCCCCCTCCCTGGGGCACACCCCCAGGCATTTGCCATTTTTTCTTCACTTGGAGTCCTATTTCCACCACCGGGCACAAAGATAGAAGCAATTGCCCACCCCCGGGACACAAACTGCACCGTTTCACAAGAAGACAGAAATACGGTATTTTAAAATACGTTTTACAAAATAGACTTGTGGACTCGTATGGCTCCAAAGGTCAGGAAACATCTCTCCCATTGTTTTTGTTTCTCGCCCGCGTTTCTTTGGCTTTTAACGCTCCTCTCTTGTGGTTTTTTCAAATACAGGTTTTATAAACTTGGAAAAATTGCTTTCCTCCAACCAGTCGCATACAAATTGAAGGGATTCGCCAGCAAAGAAGTCCGCTCGCCAATTTCGCCCCATAAAACCTTGCGCGACTAGATTCTTCAACTATCCCCACCCCCTACCCCCGGGACAAGACTAAGGCTACGTTCACATTGTACCGGATCCGGTAAAAAATTTGCACGGACCGTTCACACTATAACTGCTATCCGGACAGGTTTCGGACCGCCTATCCGTGCAAATTTTGTACCTGCTCCAGGAGCAGGTACAGTTTTGGATCCGTAACGGTCTAAAGTTGTACATAATTTCTTAACTTTAGTACTCTACTGCACCACAACATTGCACACAAGAGAACTTCCAGTTTGACTATAAAATAATAATTTATATTATTTGTAATTTGAATATTAAGACGACACATATTTCTATCACACCCAAATTTATTTCAAGTAACACATTTACAATCATGATTAAATGATAATATTAAACATTGTAAAGTTCATGATGTAGCTAATATTAATATTGCAGTAAATAACTGAAAAATATTGCACAGCAGTTATTTTTAAATTCCAAGCACCCAAAAATTAAATGTCAATCCAACCCAAGAGAGGATGATCTAAGAGAACACATCCCCCATACATGGGCCTCTTCCAATGATAATTTTTTTCAATCTAATTTTAGCGCGTGGTCATACTGCGCAGCTATTTTAAGGAAGACACCTGATTGGTCAGTTCTTTTCAGGAACTGACGAAGCTTTTCTCAAATGCTCATTGCGCTCGGGATGACAAAACACACTAACGCGATCACATCTTTAAATTTCGATTTACGATTTCAGTAGATGGTCACACTAGGGTTTCATCCACAGACTTAAAAGTTAGAACCACCTTGTACAGCATAATAAACAGTACCACATGAAAGTACTGCTCAATAGCTTTCATTTGAATGGTCACACACTAGGGTTTCACCCACGGACTCAAGGGTAAAATTACTGTCACGTTACATGTACTTCCCTTCCTGACCCGAGACCGAGTGAGCTCCAGAACTAAAATGTTGATTATGAACTAATAACGCCTATTAACGATCGTGCAGAAACCTTTTACCAAACAATATTAGCTATAAATGTGTTACCACACTGCCTGCGACTATGTAAGGTCACTCTGTCTCTTTCCGCATACCATGTTTATACATGTGATAAAGAATTCCACAACAGTTGTGACAAAATTCGCCACACATCCAACAGGTGTATTTTTCCCTGTCTTCAGAAGAAAGTTTCCTACATTTGTGTCTCTTTAAACCTTTGCCATTTTTGAAGCCTTTGCTGCAGTGGCTGCATTTGTGAGGAAAATCACCATGACTTGATATGTTATGACGTAACAGACCTACTTTCTGAGTAAAACATTTGTCACAATGAGTACATGTGTAGGGCTTTTCACCACTATGAGTTATCAGGTGTGTTTTCAAATTTGATGACTGTTTAAAGCGTTTCTCACATAGAGTACATCTGTAGGGCATTTCACTACTGTGAATCAACAGGTGACTTTTCAAATTCGATGAATCGGTAAAGCATTTGTCACATTGAGTACATCTGTGGGGTTTTTCACCATTGTGAATCATCAGGTGTATTTTCAAATGCGCTGCTTGGTTAAAGCGTTTGTCACATTGAGTACAGCTGTAAGGCTTTTCACCACTGTGAATCAACAGGTGTGTTTTTAAATTTGATGAAAGGTTAAAGCGTTTGTCACATTGAGTACATCTGTAGGGCTTTTCACCACTGTGTATCATCAGGTGCCTTTTTAGATGTGATGATTGGTTAAAACATTTGTCACATTGAGTACATCTGTGGAGTTTTTCACCACTGTGCATCTCCAGGTGTCTTTTCAGATTTGATGGACAATTAAAGCATTTGTCGCATTGAGTGCATCTGTAGAAGTCTTCACTATTGTGTATCGTCATGTGTCTTTTAAGAGCCGATGAGTGGTTAAAGCATTTGTCACATTGAGTACATCTGTAGGGTTTTTCACCACTATGAATCATCAGGTGTCTTTTAAGAGCTGATGAGTGGTTAAAGCATCTGTTACATTGAGTACATCTGAAGGGTTTCTCACCACTGTGAATCATCAGGTGTATTTTTAGAGCTGACTGGAATTGAAATCCGTTACCACACACTGTACAATATTTCAAGGCCTTTCTTCTATTCTTCTTACCAGTATTCATGTCTTTTCTTGTCTTGACAACCTGCTCCAGACAAGAAAACAATATGTTGTAGGTATTTTTTTTCATTCTCTTGTTCTTTGTTACATTAATGAAAGATTCGTAACAGAAACAAAAAGCAAGGGAAACTTATCCAGTGAAAACTAGACTGTTCACCTCTCGCAAATTAGTAGGGCTATTCGAGGCAGGAGGTGAAGAAGAAATTATAATAAGGGTAACTAACAGTAGTGTTTTAGTAAGTAATAATAATAAAAACATTTTGGTATACAAATGGCGTAATCACAAAGCGAAAAAATTCAGGCCTGAACAGGATTTTCTTTTTCAGGCTTAAAATGCATTCATAACTGCAATGATCATTAATTATTTTATTCATTTAATTTAATTTCCGCAGTTCACATATATAAACATAACATAAAACATATATGATTTCATTCATATATTCATCATCACATTTCATTCATATCATGGGTGTATAAACTCACAATATTATTGACCTGCTCCCAATGTCTGGCTCAGTTGGTAGAGCATTGCACTAGTAATGCAGAGGTCATGGGTTCAAATGCCATTGAAGCCTGAATTTTTTTCATTATATACTTTGTCATTAATCAAATTTCTATAGGCAGGGCTGCAAATAACAGTCGGTCATCGGACAATGGCCGACCAAAATTTGCCAATGTCCGATGAAATCCCAACTGTGGTCGGACATGATGTCCGGACAATGCAAACGCTAACGCATTATAAAGTTTTGTTCTAAACACAAACTAGTTTACTCTGCATTGACAATGCATTAGATTAGCAGGTTCGCCTATCAAGACGTAGTGGTACTGTAATATGATGTCTGACCTCATTTTTGTTTTGTCCGACCAAAATGTTGACTTAGTCGGACACATGTCCTTTCAAGAAAAACAAATTATTTGCAGCCCTGGAAGAAAACACTGATCATTATTTAGGATGAACGCTTCAGCCATTTTGACTTGTTACAAATGAAACTCTCTGAGCGGACACTCTCATAAGTGGACAGCTCTATTCATGGCCACCGTTGACAAAACCTTGTTTGATCTCCCATACAAACTCTGTATAATTTACACATTCCCATAAGCAGCATGTACTGCACTTTTGAGGGGTGCGTTTTGGATTTTCCCTTTGTTTCTAAGCTCCCGCAAACAGACACCCCAAAGGAACAATCCTACTAGCTTCAATCAATAAAACAAACATTCATTTCATACAGGTATTTTTGCATTGATACTGTTTAGTGTGAGCGGTACAAGCTTTCGTAAGTGGCCACCTATCCCTTATACTGCTAGTGGTCGCTTACAAGAATCATTCCCATAAGCGACCAGCTCCAGCTGTTGCAGACACTTTTTCTGCTTCCCGAGGGTGTCCGCTTACGGGAGCTTTGATTGTACTGTATAAATTTATGTACCATTGGAATGATACAGTGAACTCTCTCTAAGGTGGACACCCTCGGGACCAGCTCTAGCTGTCCGCCGCCTTAAAGAAGTGTCTGCCTTATAGAGAGTTTCGCTACAAAAGAATAAGAGAAACTTGATTCGGTCGGGACCATCCAACCATGTCCGCCTTAGAGAGGTGTCCACCTTACAGTGGTGTCCGTTTTGAGAGAATTGACTGTATTACATGTACTGTAGTTATTGTAATTAAGACCGCTAGATCCCAAACTAGAGTCTGTGTTATGGTTTAGCATTGACTATCTTTTTGGCAGTCACTAAGGAATTAAAAAAGTCAAATGTTCCATTGTGTTTGATTGCTGCAATATTGTCCAACATGTAACCATCAAACATTCAATATTTGGGCATAATACAGTTTCACTGTTCAAGAAAGTTCATTCCCTATCCTGAATCCAAGAGTCCGACGTCAATGGCGGCAAGTTAAAGTTCCATGTAATCGAATTCAAAAGCACATTTGTGTCCCGCAGGAAAATAACCTAAGAGCGAACTCGGCAAGAAAGCAGTGATAACTAAATACATCAACCGAACTGAATCAACTGATACAAGTACAAAGCGACATCAAATCTGTCGACGACATCAACATGTTCACGAACGAGTATACTATCGGTATCACCGTATGTGACTGAATTCCACATTCAACGGCAATAAAAACATTTCCTGAACACTGTGAGAACAAATGTAAAGTGTTACGGGTTTGATTACTTACCTTATTGCCAGAGAAAAACAGGAGAAAACAGCAAAACACAATCAAGCGACCACCACACTTGCAGAACGGATCACGTGTTATACTAATCAGACAGTTCCTCGACTGAGCGGGGGTGGGTAGTGCAATCCACGGTAAGAAAAAAGATGGCGGCTGTACATTTTACCACAATACCTTGCGAACCTAACACAGCTAATAGGCACATAGTATTTTTGCGAAATTCGCGCCCCTGTACTAACAACATTGTGTATGCTAGGTTTGAAGTTTTTAGAACTTTTCTGTGCGTTTTTATGAGCGTTTTTAGGGTTTTCATGCGCTAAGAATTGTGGGTAAATGTACCAGTCGCCATCTTTTTTCTTACGGTGGATTGGAAAAATGCATATCATAATTTGTTCGATACAAAAAACCCCGAGAGTCTGTAGCTCCTGATTATAATAATAACAGATGAAATTCAGCAAGAAGCTAGTGACTTATTGCTCTCTCCTCCCCAGGCTCCTTTGGGCTTCGGGAGAGATAGAAAGGCGCCTCGCGCGCTTTATATTCGTACCTCTCACCGATACTCTCAGGAGAGAGGTCACTTATTGGCAAGTGTATCCATGAGGGGTGAACGTATGACCACAAGAGGTGAGACTCGAATGCCAGTTGTAGCGTACTAATGTAAGAGTGGCGGATTCGACCGTAGGTCAAAATTCACCCAAAACGGCCTCTGGAAGCAATAAAAACACAGGAAAAGACAACAGGTGAGGTTTTAACACTTTAATTCACATTATTTACAGCTTTTTGAAAGAAAAATGAAAATTATTTTCAATCGAATTTCAGCTCCATACAAACTCTTATACAGCGCTTTGGTGATGTGTAGTCACACACTAGGGTTTCATCCTCAAACTTAAAAGTTAGAACCAATTTATTTATACAGCACAATAAACAGTACCACATTAAACTTCAAAGCAAACAGCTTTCAAATGAATGGTCACACAATCTAGGGCACCCACAGACTCAAGGGTTAATATTTCCGTCACATAATTTATACATGTATGTAATTCCCTTGCTGTCCCGAGAGTGAGCTCCAGAACTAAAATGGAAATTATGAACTAATAACGATCGTGCAGAAACCTTTTATCAAACAACATTAGCTATAACTTTGTTACCACACTGCCTGGGACTATGGTAAAATCACTCTGTATCTTTCCGCATACCATGTTTATACATGTGATAAAGAATTCCACAACAGTTGTGACAAAATTCACCACACATCCAACAGGTGTATTTCTCCCTGTCTTCAGAAGAAAGTTTCTTACATTTGTGTCTCTTTAAACCTCTGTCATCTTTGAAGCCTTTGCTGCAGTGGCTGCACTTGTGAAGAAGATCACCATGAACTGATCTGTTATGATACAACAGACTTACTTTCTGAGTAAAACATTTGTCACAATGAGTACATCTGTAGGGTTTTTCACCACTGTGAATCATCAGGTGTCTGTTCAAAGCTGATGAACAGTTAAAGCATTTGTCACATTGAGTACATCTGTAGGGCTTTTCACCACTATGAATCAAAAGGTGTGTTTTTAAATTTGATGAACGGTTAAAGCGTTTGTCACATTGAGTACATCTGTAGGGTTTCTCACGACTATGCATCTTCAGGTGTCTTTTCAGATTTGATAAACAATTAAAGCGTTTGTTGCATTGAGTACATCTGTAGGGCTTTTCACCACTGTGAGTCATCAGGTGTCTTTTCAAATACGATGAATGGTTAAAACATTTGTCACAATGAGTACATCTGTAGGGTTTTTCACCACTGTGAATCATCAGGTGTATTTTAAGATGCGTTGATTGATTAAAGCATTTGTCACATTTAGTACATATGTAGGATTTTGACCACTGTGAATCACCAGGTGCCTTTTAAGATGTGATGATTGGTTAAAGCATTTGTCACAATGAGTACATCTGTAGGGTTTTTCACCACTGTGCATCATCAGGTGTCTTTTCAGATTTGATAAACAATTAAAGCGTTTGTCACATTGAGTACATCTGTGGGAGCTTTCACCACTGTGAATCATCAGGTGTGTTTTCAAAGCTGATGAACAGTTAAAGCATTTGTCGCATTGAGTACATCTGTAGGGTTTTTCACCACTGTGAATCATCAGGTGTGTTTTCAAAGCTGATGATTGGTTAAAACACTTGTCACATTGAGTACATCTGTAGGGTTTCTCGCCACTGTGAATCATCAGGTGCCTTTTTAGACGTGACTGTATTTTAAATCCTTTACCACACACTGTACATTTCAAGGCCTCTCTTCCATTCTTCTTACCAGTATTCATTTCTTTTCTTGTCTTGACAACCTGCTTAAGACAAGAAAATATGTTGTTGGTATTTTTCTTATTCTTTCATTCTTTGTTACATACATGATGTAATGAAAGATTTACAACACAATGAATAACTTTATTAATGTCTAGGGGAAAAGTCCCCCTTACAAATTGTGGACACCTAAAATAACATACATGTAAATAACAAAACTGGAAATACATAACATGTACCACTACCTATGCCTAAAAATACTAAATTGGAAATACCTATGCCTAAAAAAACACTAAAATTAAACCTATAGGCAGGACTGCAAATAACAGTCGGTCATCGGACAATGGCCGACCAAAATTTGCCAATGTCCGATGAAATCGCAACTGTGGTCGGACATAAAGTCTGGACAATTTTTTTCTTGCCTTCTAACGCAAACGCTAAGTAACGTGTTTTGTTCTAAACACAAACTAGTTTACTCTGTGTTGACAACGCATGACATTAGCAGGTTCGCTTATCAAGCAGCATTGTAATGATGGCCGACCTCAATTTTTTTTTGTCCGACCAAAATGGTGACTTAGTCGGACACATGTCCTTTCAAGAAAAAAAATTATTTGCAGCCCTGTATAGGAGTGTTCACTGTTTGTCAACATTACGTCAAATTTATTTTGTTATTCAAATTTGCTAACCACACAAAATAACTCTTTGTTTCAACAGCCAATAGTTCTGTGGTTGGCACATTAATAACAATGGTGACGTAATGAGAAAATATCACTACAGATTATTTACATTGCCATATATTCTATTGAGCTAAGTGGAGGTTATGTAGAACATAAAGTAAAGGAATTACAGAGGTCAGTGTTAAGAAATTTTGTCAGATCAATTTTTTTGGTGAATGATGAATTTATTGTTTATTTATAGCTGGAATGTTTCTGGTTTCATTGGAAAGATTGTTCCATAGTTCCAGTAATAATCAACAGTGCTTGAAATTAAAAAAAAACCAAGTTGTCCTTATGCCCAATGCCGGACAACCAAACCCCTGACTTTGGTTGCCCTGATGACTGCTTGGTTGTCCTTAAAATATTATCTGACCGATTGCCTAATAAAAGTTTTGA